CTCTCTCTCTCTCTCTCTCTCTCTCTCTCTCTCTCTCTCTCTCTCTCTCCCCCCCCCTCTCTCTCTCTCTCTCTCTCTCTCTCTCTCTCTCTCTCTCTCTTTGCGCTGCCTATTCAAATCCAATTAGTACATTTCTTTTTTAGGTTTATATTTTGTTTATTTATAGTTTGTTCGGTTTTTTTCTCCTGTACTACAAAAAATGCGGCTAATTTTTTGTTTAGTAGATAAACTCGGGGCATATACTGGGCCAATGAGCTGAACAAGTTGCCAATGAGCTGCTTAATTTAGCTGGGAAATTTCAAATTTAAAGATTATCCTAACCCCAAGTATTCGTATTCGCATCAAAAAGTCTTCTTTTTTGAATAAACTTTAATGGAGCATAAGCATAGTGATTTCGCTTTCAGAAAAAAAAAACACATTTGCAGCTAATTATTGCAGTTAATTGGCTCAGCTTAACTTTTACCTGGGGGTTGTCAATCAAATTTCACCATAAAAAATCCAAAAACAACAAAAAAACGTGCGTAATTAGCGTAGGGAAAAAATGCGTTTGCCTATAATTATGATTGCCCCTAATAGCGCATTGTTCAAAGATCAGAAAGAGCAACAGAGAGACGAGAGAAAGAGTCAGAGAGATAGTCAAAGAGTTGAGCTAGAGAGCAATGGAAAGAATGAATCAGATGAGATTTAGAAAAAATAGAGAGAAGGATAAAGTGGAAAGCTAAAGCGAGATGGGTGCTATAAAGAGGGTAAAGGGTAAAAAAAGATCTAGAGAGAGAGAGAGAGAGAGAAAGAGAGAGCCAGAACCCAGAGATGACTTAGAGGACGATATGAAGTAGCGAGAGGAGAAATAGAGAAGAGCTAAAACGGCTGTTGTGATGGACTGAGATAGAATTAGAAAGGGAGGAAGGTTGGAGGACTGAGGGAGAGACCGCGACAAAGAAAAAGACAGGATTTAAAGAAAAGCCGAAAGAAACGAAAGAGAATGGAACAGAAAGCCAGCTAGAGAGGATGAGCCCTTAATATATTCCTTTGATTGCTATAAATTTGCATTAAATATAATCTCTCTTCTTCTTTTTGCATTGCAGCTTTAAAGCAAACTCCACGCCATTCGATATCTCGGCTTCATCGGCCTTCAAGCCCACGAAACCATTGGAAATCCATCAGCATCCACAGCACCAGCTGCAGCAACAACAGCATCAGCCGCTAATCTCGCCCATCACTGGACAACCGCTGAGCCACGTGCCAGCACCGCTGCTGCTCTCCTCATCGACCCACTCGACGGCCGGCAGTTCTTTCCGCTTGGGACGCAGCTCGACGCAGCCACGCCTGCTGCAGCTGACAGTGACGGGTACTCCGGCACCGACACCGGCCAACTCCTCGCACAGCCTGCAACGCCAGCATTCGGTCAGTGATAGCATCAACGCCAGCCTAAGCGAACAGCTGACATTGTCTGTGGGCAACAACGATACGGAGCACATCTTCGAGATGTCCGGCATAGACAATGACTCGGCCATTCAGTCGCTCAGCGAGGACGCCTCCACGGCCACCCAGTCAAGCACTAGCGTGGGCGTGGGCGTGGCACGCAGCAATAGTGTTCGTGCTCGAGCCAACATGTTCCAGCAGCTGCAGGAGCAGTCGCGCAGCCGACGTGAGGCGGCCGGTAGAGAGCAGTTGCCAGCGCAGTCGCGTTCATTCGCCAGCAGTCAAGGTGAGTACAACAACAACAACAACAACAACAATAACAACAGCGAAATCAACAACAAATACAGTCCACAAAATATCATCAACATAGCAGAAATTAGCATTAGGCCATTAAGAGTGAAAGAGCTGTGGGAGGGACTTGAGAAGGGGGGCGGTTGGCTATGGAGCAACTGCGAACTTTATTCGCCATTGGAGCAGCGATGCGTAAAGCAACAATAACAAAAGACAGTTACATTTAATACGAGTTCGTAGTAGCAGCTACTAGAGTTGTGATGTGGTTCGGTGTGAACAGGTTAAAAAGAACCGGTTCTTAAGTCCAGCTCAAAGCGTTAGAAAGTAGCGAATTCAAAACTGTTTTTTGCACACATATTTTATTTAGTAATTATACCATTTCTAATTGCATGCCAAGAGGTGATTTACCTTGGGCTAATCTTTGAATTGAATCAAGAGGCGAGCTGTAATCTAAACTGCTTTCCTTTTAGTTAGTTTTTGAAACACTATTCTCATTCAGTTCCATATATAAGGAATACATGATCTTCAAATGGCTTCCTTGGACTCATTTTTTCTAAACTGTGTTCTTAGAGATCCTCTAAAATATAGCTCAAGTTATCTTATTCAATTGAGCTAGTTCTCTTGAATTAGTGAAAGCATATCCATTGAGTGCCATTAATTAAGAATACTCCACAATGTTTGATATGGCGATGGGTTTCGGTCTGGTCAGCACGCCGATTCAGTGAACGCTCCATGGGCGACACTTTATATACAAACATATGTATATATTTATGTATTTTGCAAGCGTGTTGTTGCTGCTGTTGGTTTAGTGGCAATTCCATTATGGCCGGCATGGTTGTTGTCCAAGTTAATAAGCTGTAAAATGTGTGTCACTTGCTCAACATACACCTGCTGCTCCCTTCCCCACACCTCTCTCTCTCTCTCTTTCTCTCTCGCTCCTTTGCACACACTAGTCTGGCAATCAGCCACTAATTGAGGTTTGGGTAACAAAGCCAAAGAGAAAAGAAAAGGGAAGAGGCGAATGAAGTAGGCTTTGATAAAGTTTAGATTTAATGAGAGTCTCTCGTCTCAATAAATACACGTTGACAATATTACACAAAGACGGCGTTGAGAGCTGTGTCGAAAATTTGAGTACGTCTAGACGTTTATTAAGTAAATATGGAGTCAACGCTAAGTGCACAAGTCAGTTTGAACAAAATTTTGCAGTTCCAAGTTGTGATCAATGTTTTAATGAAATTAGATTGTAAGGAAAGTGAGTGAGCAAAAAGACAGCTGGCGTATACAAACATTTAAGTTACATACAAATACTAATTCCCTCCCTTTTTCTCTTTCTCTTCAATTGCAGCAGTAACTCCTCACCACTCGCCGCCACCGTCGGCAACAGCCGAAGCTGCCGTTGCTAGCTCGCACAATTCGTTGAACGACGAGCCGAGTACACCAAATACAACACAGGACACGACCGATGCTGATTTCGGTAAGTGCCAAGAACTAACACACACATGCACATACGCATACACACTAACACTCCCAAAGAGGGGGAGAGCGAAGCAAGCAGCTCAGCAAAAGCCAAGAGCGCAGGAGAGCCATTCATTGCATGCGTTCGCACTCTATCTTACGCTCTGGCTGCTGCTGTTCCTGCCTGTCTCGCTCGCTCTTTAGTACATGTTTACGTTTCATTTGTGCTCTCTTTTGTTTTGCGTGCCTGCATCGCAATTTGCCAATAACAAATAAATGCATATTGAATGTTGTTCTTGTTGTTGCTGTTGTTGTGACTCTCTTTAAGTGTAAGTTAAATATTTGACTTTCTTTGTTGTTGTTGCCGTTTCTTTCATTCAACTAATTGCATTTTGTTGTTGCCCTGCTCCAGTTATTAAACAATAAATGGGTAACTGAGCAACATAAATCGCCATAAAAAGTGAATTAAAGAAAACAATAAAACATTTTAAAACACATTTCTAATCATATTCTTGGCATGCATTTTGAATTTTTTTAATTTTATCTAACAAAATATTTAACACTGTTAAAGCTGTTGCTGATGTTGTTGTTGTTGTTGTTGCCGCATGACGCATGCAACAAATAATAAAATGCATACACATATACATACATATATATATGTATAATTTTTACACATTTTTTATGTAATTAATTATACGCCACGTGAGCTTCGATTTTCATTTTGATATTCAATTGCATTCGCTCATCGTTTTCCTTTGGATTTTACAATTTTCAATTGCATAGATTATTCGTTAGCTTTTAGTTAATTTAATTAAGCGTTCATAATTGTATAGTGCCTTAATTTAAAGCTGGTTTTATATTTACCCAGTTTTGGATGAGTTGTGCTTCCTCTTTTAATTATATTGTTTGATATATCTATGTCAGTATGTTTATAGTATAAGTGAATTTTTGCGTGAATGTGTTATACGTGATATGCTGGAGTCTTTTACACTGCAGCATATGCAACTGGTATACTGCGTGAGAGTGTTATACTGCAGTAGACTAGGTAGACTGTGTAAGTGATATACCACAATATGTACAGCTGGTATATATATATACTCCTTGTACTGTGAATTTAGTTTACTTTGTAAATGGGTTATACATAAGCTATTAAAAGTTCCCATAGAAATTACCTTTTCTCTAGAATCTTCATTATATAACTGTTTGCCAACTATTCTGGGTAGTCGAACCCCTCGTAGCAGCTAGTGCTAGTCATTGACCTCAACATTAATAGCCCGATCCATCGACTCATTCTGTGGCTATTTATTGCCATTATTTGAATGCGACTCACTCGGCACTAAGTAGCAAGATTTTCAGTCCCCGAGTTTCTAGTTAGTTAGCCTAACAAAAGCGCACAAAGCGAGAGATGAAAATCGAAAGCTGCGCTGAAAATGAAAACGAAAATATGAATAGATGAATAGAAGAAGAATAAAGCAGCATTTGAAAGAGACAGCATAAAGAAAGAATCAGCTGGGCGACACAAAAGGCACACACACACACACACGACAAGTCGTCAACAGATTTACAATAAAAATTGTATACAAATTATACATATATATAAAAAAAAGAAAAACAGAAAAAAAGTCACCAACTTTCTAAGTGGCACAGCATCAACAGCAGCAGCAGCAGCGGCTGATGAAGAAACCAGAGCGAATCAGAGGCACCAATTGAGAGGCTGTGGTCAGTGTTTAGCGGTCGATTAATGTGTACGAACGTCCAACGACAAATTCCTTATCGCGCAGCAACAACAACAACAATAGCAACAGCAACAGCAACAATTGCAACTTCTGATAAAAACTCGCAGTTCACTGCGGCAGCAGCATTTATCGTCAGTTTACACTTGTCGCAGCAACAACAAGCACGCACTGCAGCAGCGAAAAATATATCTATAGAGAGTTTAAGCAAAGAGTCAAATGATGCGTAAGTCAAGTGCCACGCCCCCACCTTCCTGATTGTATATTGACTACCCGCAACAACAAAAGTGCTTACCATATATCCCTCTCCCATATATATGTATATATACGCACAGAACCCTCGTCTTTGTCGCTGGCCGAACGTCTCGCCTTCTTCAGCAGCCTCTGTGAGAGCGCCGCCTGTGGTAGTGGCGGAGCAACAGCAGCCAGTGGAAGCGCTCGCCTCTTCAGTCGCCCCAACAGCAGCTGCAACTCGCGCAGTCCGCCCATTGATCGGCTGACACGCAGCAGCACAGCGGGCAGCAGCGGCAACGTCACGCCCACGCCCATGGAGTGCTCGCCCATCATCAACGACCTCAAGCAGGAGCAGCCAATGGAGCCAAAGCAGCAGCAGCAGCAGCAGCAGCAACAGCAACATCAGCAAACGGAGCAGGAGCTGCCGCCTACGCACAATGGCTTCTATCAGCTGACGCGTTCGGCCACCGCGCCCACCCCCTCCACGGCGACCGTAGTCACTACAACGACAACGACAACGCCGCTGCAGAATGGTGCGCCGCCAGCAACGCGTCGCATGCGAGTGCGCACAGTGGGCAAATTGGTGTTGCCAGCAACATTCCTCAGCGATCGCAACAAGAGCGACAACAGCAACAGCAGCAACGGCAGCAGCAGCCATCGCAGCAGTTGCATCGGACGCTTGCAGACGCTGGAGGACATACACATATCGATGGGAGTGCGTACCATAGGCAAGATCAAGTCGCCCTTCATCGAGCAGCAGCAGCAGCAGCGCCAGCAGCAACAGCAGGATCAGTCGCACCAGCAGCAGCAGCAGAGTAAATCAGCCAAGATGGATCAGCAACGGTACAGCAATGGCGCCAGTGACAGTGGCTCAGACTCTGGCAAGGAGAATCAAGCGGCCAATCAACAGAAGCAACAGCAACAGCAGCAGCAACAGCAACAGCAGCAGCAACAGCAACAGCAGCAGCAGCAACAGCAGCAGCAGCAGGACGCTCAGCAACGGCAACAGCAGCTGGACATGCATCGCAAGCACTTCTCGCATATCACCGTGCAGCAGATGCCACCACAGCAGAGCATCAATCGTCGCCATACCACAGAGCTGTCCGGCAGTCCCATTGGCACCGTCTGCATGGGCAACAATCGCCCGAAGGTAAACGAGCGATACGCCAAATACTTTGGCCTAGACGAGAGCAGCACCAGCAGTCAGCTGCTCAAGACAGAGGCGCTCAACGAGCACGTGCGTGTGCCAGCTTCCCAGATGAGCAGCAGCAGCAACAGCAGCAACAGCAACAGCAACAGCAAGAGCAACACCAGCATCAACAAAAGCAGCAGCAGCACCAGCATATCCAGCAACAACAGCAACACCAGCATGGTGCAACGGCGTCGGGAGATGCTGAAGCGAACACGCGCCATGTCCATGGAGACGTCGATGTGCGATGGTGGCTCGATCAGTCCGACGGCCGTGCCGAGCGCCAAGCGGGCGCATTCGCCGGCGCACAGCGGCGTCGGACTGAACCGGATAGCCAGCTTTGAGGATATTGTGGTCACGCAGGACGAGCTGCATGCGGCCGGACACGAATTTAAGCGATTGTGTGGCGAGATTTTGGGCACATGAAAAATTGTAAATTTTTTGGCAAACCTACATAAAATTTCACAAATTTTTCGACACGTTTTCTCACCTAGCTTGGAGAACTAGCATGCAAATTTCTATTTCGATCGGCATTCCCTTTTCAAATTCTTGTGCGCCAATGGGATGCAGCGTGAGCTGTTCTCCTCTCCTTTTTTTCCCCACCCCCAAACATCCTCATTAAAGGAAAAAAATATGAATGTGCTCAATGTGATTTGTGTAGATGATAGTTAGAGATGCGCTCGCGCTCTCTTGCTCCGCACTTCCTTAAAACGAATCGAATTATTCAAATCAGTAAATAAAATAAATTAAAAACAAAAACCTAAAAACATCCTAAAAACGAAACGAAAACTTAATAGCTATATTATTACAATTATTTCCAGCAGAAAGAGGGAAAGATATATATAGAGAAAGAGCGAGAGATGGGGAAAGAGAAATGTATAATTAAGCCAGGGTCGGAGCACTTCCAGTAATAAACAGTTATTAGTTATGTTAATAATATACATATATACATATATATATCTACCTATATATTCTATATTCTATTCGATATAGTGTGCAACTACTTCAGTGTGTGTGCTTATTTATGCGTTTTTTATTAATTATTTAATTATAAACGAATTGTACCTTTAACGGCATTAATTACATACATATTTAATTATACTTAATTGTATTATCTATGCGAATTGTTGAACGAGTAAATAAATGAAACAGTTGTGCGTAAAGATCAATGTAAGAATTCACTTGAAACTACAGTTAACTGAGTAAGTACTAAGAGCACGCCTTTCTATGCACTTCTCACGGCAATGCTTATGCATGCAATTTGCCTATTTTTGCCTGAAATATGATTTGAATTGAGCTTAAAATGCTTTTTGGTAATTATAGATAACATATTCTCTTATATATATGCGAGAGTTGCTTGAAAAATGGACGATTTATAATTGAATATTAGCTACTAACTTTTTCAGACCACCCTCGCATAGACATCTATTTATATAAACCTAGTTTCTTACCTACATTTCCTTCCTCTTTTCATATAGCCAAACCTGCTGATACGCCCAAAGGCATCTTGAAGAGCGGCAAACCCTTGGGCCTGGGCTTGCCCATGGGGCGTGGCCTGATGCCCATCGATCTGAATGCAGAGCTCAAGAATCGGCTGCAGCGCTCCACGCATGCAACTGTTTCGAATCTAAGGAAATCGGCGACGACGACGAATGCAACGCGCGATGAAACGGATAATGCAGCTGCAGCGGCGCCAACGAATCCTCAACGCAACTTGGCTCAGATACTGCGCAATGTGTCCAAAGAGAATGCCACGCCCACGTCGGCGGCGCATCATGACGATGCCGTTAACCTAGTGCGCAATCTGACGTCGATTGGGGCGCCACGCCTCAGCGGCGATGCAGCGGGGGGCAGCAACAATTGCGCATCGGCATCCGAGGGCGAAAGCTCCGGCGGACGGGAAATCGATGCGATAATTAAGAATAGCGCCGTGGCTAGACGGCGACGCCAGCAGCAGCAGCAGCAACAGCAGCAGCAGCAACAACAACATCAGCCAGATGGGTGAGTCCTTGTTCAAGCTGGAGTCAACGCTAACTTGTGTTTTTGCCCTGTGCCGTGCGCTGTTAATGTATTAACCGTAATGCTAAACATGTGTAATACACACACTCACACACACCTGCATCAGTATGTGTGCTGTTAATGTATTAACCGTTAGCTACTAACTTAGTTAATAAGCAGCCATAGTATATAAATATGTATGTGTAAATACACAAAAGCACACACACACACACATAGACAGTGTTGTATGTGTGTGTGTGTGTGCATCTCAAGACTGGTTCCACATATGCAAAATTTATAAATATTTAAAATTAAAAATAAAAAACGTTTTACACCTAAGCAACATACATAAAAGCTGCTCGACTTTGGTATACCCTGTAATTGGAGACGTAAAAGTTAAAATTTTGATCAATGTTTCCATAAAACATTTTCTATTCCTCTGTCTGTGTTAAGCAAAAATTTTTCTATACTGATGAAAACAAATATAATCAATTTCAATGCAAAGAACAAATAAAAGTTTCCTTGACAAAGTGAAACCGATTGCTCGATGCTATTATTGGCGACCTGTGCAACCGCCGCAACAGACACGACAACAACAGCAACAACAACAACAACAACGACAACAATATCAAATTCAACTGCAAGTGCTGTACAAACAACAACAACAACTCCAACTACAACAAATTTTGTTCAACAAAAACTAAAAAATATACTTTGTAAACAAATAAAAACAATGTTTATCGACTAGCTAATAAGTTCAATTTGCATTGCTTACTAAATAATATAAAACAAAAGAAAAAAAAACGACAAGCATTGAACAAAAATCTATATTTATTTATGGAAAAATTTAAATAAGGAACAAACTAAATTTTGCCACATATTTTTTGCGTGACACTGAAATAATAAATATTAATAATAAAGTTGACAAAAATCCCAATTAACTGTAGTTTTGTTTACAACTAATCCTGCTGTATTAATAGCATTCAAATGCCTGCATGTTCGTTAATGCTAACAATTTAAATTAAAAAGCGCGCGCAGCTGGCAACGCTTGCAGATGTGGCAGCCCTGGTTATGCTAACTTAACGCCTACCGGAATGTTACACAACTGACAGCGCTTACATATATAGCAGCCCTGGCCGTAATTAACTACATACAACATGTCTGCATGCTCGTTGAAATTTGAATACTTTATAGGCGCGTACACCTATTGCAACTTACAACGGTTACAGAGGTGTTAGTTTACATGGGTGATGCTGTAGCCCTGGGTATGTTAATCTAACATACTGGTTTGTGTACAAGCTTAACATAATTGCTCCTCCCAGACTATGGATAAATATCAGCTGTACTCTCTGTAACAGTTTGAGGGTCACTGTGGCTGGTTAAATTGACTTTTGGGTTTAAATAAACGTAAACATTAACACTTGCAGGAATTAAAACATAATGTTTAAAACATAGCAGTCGTTACAGCTGTTGCCTACAATTGGCTAACTGTTTTATTAGTGGCTGGTATTTCATACTAGCTACAAATTATATATAAAGAAACATTTTACACACCGTATGCTATTTCGCCGCAATCAACGGTCGAATTCGCTGGGCGAATGTGATATTCATGTTTCGGTACATTTGTAACAGCAGACTTGCAGAAGGTTAACATTGCATTAGCTAGTATTTTGCTTTCTGCTCTTGGCGGGAGTGGATGTGTTGCGGACGACGTTCGTATTTTGTAGGTGTTTCCTTTCGATTCGCGCGCATTTTGTGCCGGTCGCAAATTGCAATTGAATACTGCACTTTTAATATTGTACGCGCGTGAGTTTGTGTGTGTGTTTGACTGTGTTTCTTGTGCAAGCCAAAGGCAAATGCATAACTAAGATAAAAAAAATAACAGCAACAGCATAAAAAGGAAGAAAAAGAAAAACAAGCTACGAGCGTCTCCATTGTCAGCTGCATTTTCGCTTTTTGTGATCAGTTCTCAATTTAATTGCATCCAATAATTGGCTTCAATTGAAAGTGCAAGTTAAAATGGCAGCAAAACCCACAACGTCTTTGGCTTAATACAAAATCTGTAAATCGTGAGAGAAGCTTGCGGGCTGCAACGCTGTAAACAAAGGTTTGTAACTCCAGCTCTGAACACTGAAATCTTCGGGTAGTTTTATGACTTGATAGAGCGGGATGAAGAACGCAACAGGGAGAGTGAGAGAGAAAGAGTGAGCCCGCAAATACAATTTGAAGCTGACCAGTTTTGCACAGACTGTTTGTCGCGTCCCCTTTTGCGCCCTTCTTTGTTACCTGCTGCAACGAGCTACACACAGCGAGCAGCAACAACAGCAATAACAGCAAAGATGATAAAAACAAAATACAAGTAAAAAATAACCCAAAACTGTAAATCGCCTTGTTCGCTTCCATTGAAATATTCGCTGATTCAGCAGCAGCAGCAGCAGCGACGCAGATTTCTGTTGTTGTTGTTTTAATATTCTTGTTGCTTTACTTACTTTTTGTTGCTGTTGTTTTTTGTCTCTTGCTTGTTGCTATTTATTTGCACTTGGACATTTGAGGTCTATTGCTCTTCGCGCACTTAGTTTTGTTGTTTTTGTCACTGCTGTAAACGGCGTTGCCTGCACCTAGTGCAGCTTTATACTGTGTAATGTAGGCAGGAAAGGGTATGCTGAGTTTGCAGCAATTGCAGTAAATTGACTGCGAGAAGATAATAGTTTTTAATAATGTGTAATTGAATGCATTGACAAATTTGAGATGTATAGAAAGAGACATTACAATTGTAATTGCATGTTCTAGATTGCGATCTACAGGCATGTACATGCATCTAGCATCACTTAATATTTCTTAGTTCAATTGCAATCAAATAGTCGAGCCCATTCATATTTAATATTTGCCCATATTCCCCATTACAATCATGTCCATTACGATTATATCTCTTCTTCTTGTCCTACTCCCTCAACTATTATGTATGTATGTATGTCTATAACTCTTTAATATTTTTTGGCTCAAGGTCTTAAATGATCAACTTAAGCATTCGCTCGGATATTTATCGCTAATCAATCACGCTCCCTCATTATATTTCGCACACAATTCATTTTATTGAACAAACAATTTGAATTGCTGTAGCTCCTTATCAGAGCAATTTGCCGTGTGTTTGCTGTATTTCGTAATATTTTGTTGTTTTTTTGACCTGCCTTCAGGCAATTAAATAAACAAAAGTAAAACCAAAACCAAATTTAAGCACCAAAAAAGCAAAAACTTAAATGGAGACCGCAAAAAAAGATGCCTTTTCGCTTTTACAATGAATTTGCATAATTTTTGGTGGCAAAGAGCGAATAAGAAAAAAACAAGAAAAAGAAGTTAAAAGTGTTGGGTATGTCAGACGCTGCTTTGATTTATAGCACACAGCCACATACATACCATATAGTATATGTAGCATTAGATAAGTTGTCGATCCATAAATAGACAATAAATTGCAGTTATCTCGGACTTTCCTTGTCTGATAATCGAAAGTAGTTTCAAGTGGCAATTGGTAAGCAAGATATCTATATATACGTAAGTATGTATGTAGATAAGTGTAAGTGTAAACATTGATAGAAATGCATATGCATATATTTACCTTTTATACATATGTACATGTCTGTATATGTGCACGTTCTCAGGAGAAACGTGAGGCTCAATGCTAATGAATCAAGTCTACAGAAAGCAATAGAAATAGGGAAACACTCGGCGAGCTAATCGACTGCGTATGCACATACATATTTGGTATAGATACAGACATATGTACATGCATATACATACATTCATATATATCTAAAATTTTACAATTTATATTTAAATATGTTATCAGCAGCTGTTTGTCTGTCGGAATTCTAAGAGTCGCTTTAAGTCTGCAACGAATCGATGTCAATGTTATACGAAAGGGTATACAAGTTGATATATGTAAACATGCATACATACATACAAATATATACAGATATATGTATATACAAACATCTAGAGCACTATTTGTTAACTGCAGCTGTTTGTCTGTTCAAATTGTGAAGCTCTCAGTTGATTGATGTTCGAGTATAACACTTTCGTTGTCTGCACACATGTATAACACTGTTTGTTGTTCTACTGTATGTACTCTGGTATACATATATGTATGCACATATACATGCATATTTACAATTCTTAACTGCACTTAGTCTAAAAGCTCTAATCTGATTGAGTCATGGGAAAGAGTATAACACTTTCGTTGTCTGCACACACACACATATAACACTGTTTACTGCTCTACTGCACACACACATATACACACACACACACACGTACAGACTCGTGCAGCTCTGTGACCTCGCTGGCGCTCATAATTGAATTCATCGCCCGACTGATCGCACGCCATTGGGATAAATCTCCATACGCCGATGATGAATTATCAACGCTTTTAGTTGCCGGGCAATGCGTTCGTGGCCTGTGATCTATCGATCCGAGCAGCGCCATTAATGGTAACCTCATAAATGGAGATGCAGGCAAACTGGGAAACCGAGAAAACTGAAGTTTTTTTTTTGTTTTCCATTTCAAAGGCAGCAGGCCATAAATTATGCGTGTGTGTGTGTGTGTTTAACCCCGCCTGCTCTCTTCCAGCCAAATCAGATGCATTGGAGCATTAAGTTTTCTGGATAGCTATAAATACGTTTTCTCGTATATCTTGATCGAAACGAATGGAGTTGTTGTGCCAGCATCAGCATTCAAATCAATTAAATTCGAGTTGAAATTTAGGCTTTATTTTTATTTCGTCTTCCTCTAGCAGGAGTAGCAGGAGGAGGAGGAGGCGGAGGCTGCTTTCATAGGCAGCTGGTTTCCAATTTCACTTGTTCAAAGTATTACACAATCCCAAGCAGAGAACGTTGACTCTATTGTCGCATTGTGCCTATGTTTCTGGTCTATTTATCTCGTTTACGCTTGGCTCAGCTGTTTCGACAACTTTTTGTCCAACTTGCATACCCTGTAAGCAACGGAAATGTGTGAGAAGAGGTGTGCTGGCTTAAAGCACGATCATTAATCATACTAATGTGTGCATAGTTAATAATAACGTTAAAGGTTAAAATTATTGAGGAAAATCGATTAGGTGTGGGAATGGGCATAATGGAGTTGGAATACTCTGAGTATGATGATATATTTGGGGATATGCTGCTTTTGTCATATATACATATGTATATATTGAGAAAGGCAAAAAAATTAGCCTATATACCCCATATCTAA